GGCCACTGCTGTCACTGACCCTTTGTTTGAATCCACTGCTGCGTCTGCTCTCGTTGCTGAGCTTGTTGACTTTGCTGCTACCTGTCGTCTAGACTTCGCCACTAGTCTTGTTGCTGAGTCTGCGTCTGCGTCTGTCTGTCCTCCGTCCGTCGGGGGTGAGTGTGCTCTTGGCACGGACGTTCTTGAGGACAGACAGGAGGAGTTTGAGTGCTTTGCTGCTTCTGTACCTCATCTCGTGTCCATGCTGCTTGCCCCTGAGGGAGACCCGGATGCACCAGACATCCCGACCCCGCGCTCTTACGCAGAGGCGATAGAGGGTCCCTACTCCTCTCAGTGGCAGGCAGCCATGGACGCCGAGATGGCTTCCTGGAAGTCCACAGGCACTTACGTCGACGAGGTTCCCCCGCCTGGGGCGAACATCGTCAGTGGCATGTGGATCTTCAGGGTGAAGCGGCCGCCGGGTTCTCCGCCTGTCTTCAAGGCGCGTTACGTTGCTCGTGGCTTCAGTCAGCGACAGGGAGTTGACTTCTTTCAGACCTTCTCCCCTACCCCAAAGATGACCACTCTTCGGGTACTGCTGCACGTTGCTGCTCAGCGTGACTACGAGCTCCACTCGCTTGACTTCAGCACAGCGTTCCTGCAGGGCAGCCTGCACGAGGAGATCTGGCTGCGCCGCCCACCTGGCTTTACTGGGTCGTTTCCTGCTGGTACCCAGTGGAGCCTCCGGCGGCCAGTCTACGGTCTCCGCCAGGCACCCCGTGAGTGGCACGACACACTCAGGACGACTCTGGCTTCTCTTGGTTTTGCTCCTTCCACTGCTGACCCTTCTCTGTTTCTACGCACTGACACTACTCTGCCGCCGTTCTACGTTCTCGTGTACGTAGACGACCTTGTCTTTGCTACTGCTGACACTGAGGCACTCGCCCACGTGAAGTCCGAGCTGCAGAAGAGACACACGTGCACAGACCTGGGTGAGCTGACAAGCTATCTTGGCTTGCGGATCACTCGGGACAGAGCACAGCGCACCATTACCTTGCCTCAGTCACACATGGTGCAGCAGGTCCTTCAGCGCTTCGGCTTCACGTACTCCTCGCCACAGTCCACTCCTCTGCCTACCGGTCACTCGCTCTCAGCTCCACCTTCGGACGAGTCCGTAGAGCCGAGTGGCCCGTATCCAGAGCTTTTGGGCTGCCTCATGTACCTGATGACTTGCACACGACCTGACCTCGCATACCCTCTCAGCCTTCTGGCTCGCTACGTGGCTCCCGGCAGGCACCGAAAGGTGCACTGGGATGCTGCGAAGAGGGTGTTGCGATACTTGTGTAGTACATCGGGCATGGGGCTCGTGCTTGGAGGACGGGCTCGAGTTGTTCTCACTGGTCACGCTGACGCCTCCTGGGTTGACGACTTGGCTACGCAGCGGTCGTCACAGGGCTACACCTTCAGTCTTGGCTCCGGCTCAGTCTCTTGGCGGTCTACCCGCTCTTCTTCTGTTCTCAGCTCCAGTTGTGAGGCTGAGATCTACGCTGGGGCCATGGCTGCACAGGAGCTACGCTGGCTTACCTACCTGCTGACCGACTTGGGAGAGGCGCCTCGTTCTCCTCCAGTTCTGTACGTCGACAACAAGGCCATGCTGGCCTTGTGTCAGGAGCACAGACTGGAGCACAGAACGAAGCACATTGCTCTGCGCTACTTCCTTGCTCGAGAGTTGCAGCAGCGTGGCCAGCTTCGTCTTGCGTACGTGGCCTCTCAGGCCAACACTGCTGATGTTTTCACCAAGGCACTTCAGCCTTGTGATCATCAGCGTTTCTGCACTGTGTTAGGCCTTGTACCTACTGTGCCTCACTTGCTTTCTGCTTGACTCTGCCTGTACTGTACTCTTTATACATGTACCTGCATGCTTACTCTTGCTAGGTTTTGTTCTGTTTATTGTTTGTTTTCCTTTATATAACTCTGCATGTGAGCTGGCCTTGTGGCCATTTGCTTGTGCTCAGACTGCGTGGTGACTTTGTGATCCACCCTGAGCTTGCTTTGTCTTTCTTGACTGGTCTTGTGACCTCTTGTTCTCCCCCACTTTGCCTATGGGGGTGTGTCAAACTTATATCTGCTATAGTCTGTTTAGGCTGTAGTGGGGTAGTTCTTAGAGGGTACAACACTTTTGTGTTCTCTACTTGTACCCATCTCGTTTCTAGTTCAATCATTCCTTCCTATCATTCTCACATCTGTCGCTGCTTGTACTTCAGCTCTCCTGTTGACTTCTTGACTCTGCTTGTACTGTACTCTATATACATATACCTGCATGCTTATATTTACTAGGTTGTGTTCACTGTATTGTTTGATTTCCTTTATATAACTCTGCATGTGAACTGGCCTTGCGGCCCTTTGCTTGTGCTCAGACTGCGTGGTGAATTTGTGATCCACCCTGAGCTTGCTTTGTCTTTCTTGACTGGTCTTGTGACCTCTTGTTCTCCCCCACTTTGCCTATGGGGGTGTGTCAAACTTATATCTGCTATAGTCTGTTTAGGCTGTAGTGGGGTAGTTCTTAGAGGGTACAACACTTTTGTGTTCTCTACTTGTACCCATCTCGTTTCTAGTTCAATCTTTTCATTCCTCGTTACCCTCACACGTAGAGCCGAGTGGCCCATATCCAGAGCTTGTGGGCTGCCTCATGTACCTGATGACCTGCACTCGACCTGACCTTGCTTACCCTCTTAGAATTCTAGCACGCTATGTTGCTCCTGGCAGACACAGGAAGGAGCACATGGATGCTGCGAAGAGGGTGTTGCGATACTTGTGCAGTACGTCGGGCGTGGGGCTCGTGCTTGGAGGACGGGCTCGAGTTGTCCTCACTCGTCACGCAGACGCTTCCTGAGTTGACGACTTGGCTACGCAGCGGTCGTCACAGGGTTACACCTTCAGCCTTGGCTCCGGCTCTGTCTCTTGGCGGTCTACCCGCTCGTCTTCTGTTCTCAGCTCCAGTTGTGAGGCTGAGATCTACGCTGGGGCCATGGCTGCACAGGAGTTACGCTGGCTCACCTACCTGCTGACCGACTTGGGAGAGGCACCTCGTTCTCCTCCAGTTCTGATGTCGACAACAAGGCCATGCTTGCCTTGTGTCAGGAGCACAGACTGGAGCACAGAACGAAGCACATTGCTCTGCGCTACTTCCTTGCTCAAGAGTTGCAGCAGCGTGGTCAGCTTCGTCTTGCTTACGTAGCCACTCAGGCCAACACTGCTGATATCTTTACCAAGGCACTCCAGCCTTGTGATCATCAGCGTTTTTGTACTATGCTAGGTCTTGTGCCTACTTGGCCTCACTTGCTCACTTCTTTACTCTGCTTGTACTGTGATCTCTATACATATACCTGCATGCTTACACTTGCTAGGTTGTGTTCACTGTATTGCTTGTTTTCCTTTATATAACTCTGCATGTGAACTGGCCTTGTGGCCATTTGCTTGTGCTCAGAATGCGTGGTGACGTCGTGATCCACCCTGAGCTTGCTTTGCCTTTCTTTACCAGTCTTGTGACCTCTTGTTCTCCCCCACTTTGCCTATAAGGGTGTGTCAAACTCATATACTATAGTCTGTCTGGGCTGTAGTGGGGTAGTTCATAAAGGGTACAACACTTTTAGGTTTCATATTTGTACCCACCTGCTTGCTAGTTCACCATTCATTCCTTCACTATTCTGACACTTCGATACAGTGACGACTCGGGCAACTGCTCAATACCGAGTCAGTTGTTTGTCCTTGCTGTCGCGCTGTATTTTCGTCGAGTTAAAGGTCGCTGATATTTGATCTTCGTGTAACCTCCAGCTATTACATTTGTTGACTCGCGTGTTGCTTCACTATAGTCTGCTTCGTTTCGTGTTATTACTTCGATACTTCAGAAGCGTTAAATTGCTTGTTTCCAACATGTGGCAGCGAACGCTTTCGGCTGGTTAACTAGTTTTAAAATTTGCCTATAATTGTTATTATTTGCATGATATGAAATTCATTCCATGCGAAAAAATTTGCGAAGTGATCCCAAATCGCTGGTTACACGTTTCTCATAATTTACATAACAGACTCGATCTCAAACAAAATGCTAAAATTAGACTTACTGCCCTTGCTAATCAAACAAAACAGTCATGTTTTGTCCCTTGCTCTTACATTCATATTACACGCTTTTGTTGCAATGAAAAAAAGTGTGACTGTACAGTAGAATCCGTAACAACGAATACCACAGTGTGCGTACTGAATACGACAGCGTGCAACAACAGCTCGTTCCAGCTTCAGAGTGGTTGGCAACGTCAGCCAGTGGAATTTCCGCCAACCGCAAGTCATGCTGTGCTGGGCTCCTTTCGAAAACACTAGGAAATTTTTGTGGATGTGAGGCTCCAGTGAACTCAAATGCTAATCACGTGAGTGACTGTGGGCAGGTAAAGGAAGGGGGAGGAGCCCCACTGGCTGTCGATTGTAATCCTCCTCCCCAAATTCTACACTCCTCGCTGGGTACATCCACTCCACTCCCAAGGTGAGCACGTGAGTGAGTGTGGGCAGGCCATTTGATTCTGTACTGATTCGTTGTTGTGTACTGTGCGGAATACGTGGAAGTCGTTACTTGTATTATTTCTCGTCGAGCTTCGCCGGGGTGAATGGCGTTTCGCATCTGCGCACACCCACAAGGATGACCCGTGTGTAACCTTTCAAGGCGCTCGCTCAACATTTTCGCACTGCTGTGATTCGGCTGCTCCTGTAATGTGCGCTTTCGCTGCCTAAAGCACTGTGGTGGTGACTGATAGTAGGGGACTGGTTTCAAGCATTGCTCCTACACAACATAAAACGCCCAGCATAACACAACACGCACAGCTGCCTGAGACTGGATTAGAGCATTCTTTGCATACTACGCACTCGCACACACACATCCCATCGGCAACTCACATCAGCGATGCCATTTATTTATCGCTAAGGAGAACCAGCTACCCGCGACCATTTTCCAGCATTTGCTGGAACCCTTCCTCATGGCCTCCCAAACTGCGGTTGTTCATAGTCCAGTACTCTCATCGGCCGATCTCTCTCCTGATGTAGACTGGCCACTCGCCAACTCCCCCGCAATCCGCGCTCGCCCCTGCCTGCGAACTCAATGCACTGGTGAAACCCGCTCGCTAGACCGCGAGCGCGCTCTGAACACCACAGCCGCCCTCGGGCTAAGCCCAACTCGTGCGAGGACATATTCTCCTAGCACTTCCCCCCTATCCGCGGAAATATCATGGGCGGACGCTGTCGCGGCCGGGAGGAGGAAAGACGGCGAGCGCCCAGCGGTGCTGTCGCCCTTGGGATGCGGTTCCGCCTCCGCGCTACATTCTCCGTGCAGCGGCGGAAGCCCCGCATGGCGCCCTGCCGCGCTGGCGGCGGTGCGCAGCCCGCTCGCGCCCGTCGTCCGCCACAGGGCGACCGCGTCGGTTGACATGGAGGAGCTATGGGCGGAGGAAGCTTCCGACGAAACCGGCGGCGCAGCGCGCCGGCCACGGAGAAATCGTATGATCATCCGACGCGCGCGAAACAAGTCCTCCGACTTCTCCTCGCTCCGCAGCGCGCTGGGAGACGAGAAGCCGCCGGGGAGCGCCGACGCGGGCAGCGACCGTCGCGCCGCGACCGGGTGGGTCCCAGCGGCGCCGTCGTGGGAGGGAGAAGCTCCGGACTCAGCCGAGCCGCAGCTCCTCTCCGCTGAAGGGAGCGACGCTTCCGCGGCCGCGAGACCGTCGATTATCAGCCGACGCACCGCCGCGACGGCGATCCGCAAGTTGCGCATTTTCTCCAACCGAAGCAGCGGCCGGGATTCTGAGCTCGCCGCCGCATTCGCTGCCCCGGCGGCGTCCGCCGCAGCCGGAAACGATGTGGCGCTCGAAGGACTCGAGGGCGTTTCCGCGCAGCCGAGTCGCACGCGCGACAAAGTGACGGCGGGTTCTGCGGCCGGCGCCGGCGGCAACGGCGGCGGGGCTATTCCGAAGTCCCCTCCGCGGCGGCGGGGACCGGCGGGCGTCGCGGCGAGGCGGAGAAACTTCAGTGGATCGTCGGCGGAGCCTGTGACGGTTGTTCCGTTTGTGCGACGAGAGCAGGCGGACAAGCAGCTGCAGGCGCAACAGCCGTCGCAGGAGTCATCGCCGCCGTCGCACATCAAGCGAAGTCTTAGCAGCAGCGGCGCTGAGGGGCGGCAAGAAGCGGCCGGGCCGCAGGATATTGCTGACGTGCTCCGTGCCCCGGCGCTGCCGGGGCGTTCGGGCGACTCGGAGGAGGCTGGCGAAACGAAACGCAGTGGCGAAACGGATGGCGAAGAATCTCGAGGGCAGCAGCGGGTCGCGTCGTACCACGAGGAGTTGGCTCTGGATTTGATGGATTATTTCGGCGACGTCGCGCAATCCTGGAGCATTGGGAGTTCAAACCGCGACTGCGACTCAGTAGTACATCCACATGAAGCCGAAGCTGCTGCTGCTCCGGTCGAAACGATGTTTGGGGAGGCGGAAAGGGGAGAAGCGCGAGGGGAGAGACGAGCGGAGGGAATGGAGAGGATGGGACGAGCGGAGGGAATGGAGGTGGGTGGACGATTGGAAAGGATGGAGGAAGTGGGTCGAGTGGAGTCATGGCGCACGCATGTGTAGTTAAAATAGCGGCGTGGGAAGTTTGGAAGGAGATGCGTTGACCTGTGTACAAAGAGACGTTCGGAAGGATGAGGAAAGGGAGGAGGGTAGGAGCAGGAGGGGCCGCAGCAGCAGAGCTGCCAGTCTTGTCTGCTTGTGACCCAGCAGGGAAGTATCCTATCAAAAAGCGAGAGGAGCAGGTGTCACAGGGTTACACCTTCAGCCTTGGCTCTGGTTCAGTTTCTTGGCGTTCCACACGCTCGTCTTCAGTTCTCGGCTCCAGTTGTGAGGCTGAGATCTACGCCACAGCCATGGCTGCACAGGAGCTTCGCTGGCTCACCTACCTGCTGACTGACTTGGGAGAGCGGCCTCGTTCTCCTCCAGTGCTGTACGTCGACAACAAGGCCGCCATTGCCTTGTATCAGGAGCACAGACTGGAGCACAGAACGAAGCACATCGCTCTCCGTTACTTTCTTGCTCGAGAGCTGCAGCAGCGTGGCCAGCTTCGTCTTACCTACGTGGCCACTCGGGCCAACACTGCTGATATATTCACCAAGGCACTTCCGCCTGGTGATCATCAGCGTTTCTACACTTTGTTAGGCCTTGTGCCCACGCTTCCTCACTTGCTGTAGGCTTTGTTTGTACCATGATTTATATGTATTCCTGCATGCTTGTTCTTGTAGGTAGATTTCACTGTACTGTTGTTGTTACATATATATTTCTGCATGTGAACTGGCCTTGTGGCCTTCTTGCTTGTGCTCAGACTGCGTGGTGACGTTGTGATCCACCCTGAGCTTGCTTTGCACTTCCTGACTGGTCTTGTGACCCTCTGTTCTCCCCCACTCTGCCTATGGGGGTGTGTCAAACATATGTATAGCTACCGTATGTTATATTTTGGGTAGGCTTAGTGGGGTACACACTGTAGGGTACAACCCCTTAGGCTGATTTCCTTTGTACCATCCATCTCGATAGTCGACACCCATTGATGCCTAGCTTCTAAGAGGAGTGGCTGCATACTGGGCGCGTGCCGAGGACTTGAGGTCCAAGTACTTGGCTGCAGGAGGGAAGGAGGAGGTTGAGGAGTGGATGATGAGGGTACTCAAAGGACTACCTCTTCACTTTGAGATGCTGAAGGTAGTGCTGAACAACCAATCACCATCGCTTACTAAGGATCAGCTGCTTACCTCCTTGAGGAGCGAGGAGATGCGGATTGGTGTCGCACCAAGATCGGATGGTGTAGCCACTTTTGGAGCGGGTACGAAAGTGGGCAGCAGCGGCAAGGGAAATTGGGACAAGGGAGGAAAGCATGGAGGCAGCGGTAGCAGCAGTGACACCAACTCGGGCAGATGGGGTCAAGGAAAAGGCAAAGCGGGAGTGCTTGATTTCCCCTGGGGGTCCAAGGGCATGGCTCCTCGGGGGTTGTGTCATGGCTGTTGGGATGAGGGACATGCATGGCAGCGATGTCCTCATCGACCTAAGGGAGGCATTTCGGCATTCTTAAAGCGGGGGGGTCGTGGATCCAACGGCAAGGCACAGGTGGCGGATGAGGAGGAGCAGGATGACAAGGCAGAGGCAGTGGTTGGAGAGGCAGTTGCAGCAGTAGGAGAGGAGCAGCCGCGAGAGGGGTGGTGGATTGACAGTGGGGCCAGCCACAACTTTACTCCTTATGCATCGGACTTCAAAAGTAAGCTTCAGCCACCAGAGGTTCGGGGAGTTATATTGGGAGATGGACGGATGGTGAAAGCTGTTGGCATGGGTGAGGTGCCAGTGGTTGGTGCTGGAGGTCAGCTGCTGAGGATTCAAAAGGTCCACCTTGTGCCTGAGATGCACACGCGTCTGCTGTCAGTCCCACACCTCACCTCTCGAGATGTCATTGTCACATTCAAGGGCAAGAAATGTGTTCTTAAACGGGGGGGGAGGGTGTTGGCGATTGGAGAAAAGGAGAGGGGCAGGGACCATGGATTGGTGCGGATGTCTCTTCCTCTTGCTCGGGGCACACAAGGCAGTGCTCTTGCAGCTGGGTCCTCCTCCTCATTTTCCCCATTGACCCTTGCTCATCGCCGCCTTGGTCACACCGCCCCCACAACATTGCAACAGATGGCTCGGGGGAACAGTGTACTGGGCTTGGAGATCGGGGGGGGGGAGCACTGATTGCTCCCCATGTGAGCCTTGCTTATTGGGAAAGTCGGCTCGGAAGCCGTTTCCCCACGAGGCGTCTCGGGCACTTGGGCCTTTGGATGAGGTCCACATGGATTTGTGGGGGCCAGTGCGCACACCGTCACTGGGAGGAGCGGTGTATGTCCTCAGTCTCATTGACGACTTCACCAGACGAGTTTGGTCGTTCCCACTCCCCAACAAGGAATCGGCCACAGTCGCAAAAGTCCTTCGCCAGTGGCATAAGGACGTGGAGTTGGAGTGTGGGCGGAAGCTGAAGGCTGTTCGCTCCGACAGGGGCGCGTGCTTTGAATTTGTCGATTGTTCCGTCAGCTTTTGTTTTCACGCGGAAAACCCATTTTCCCATGAGGATGGTCTTGTTGCATGCCACTCCGATAGGCACGACTTTCCAGGTGTTGCGTTCTTGCAGCGCCTTTAACTCTCTGTCCATGGCTTCACGCCATTTTTCCCTGTGTTCCCCCCCCAGAGCCTGCTGAATGGTAGCAGGCTCCTTAGGTAGTTTTGCTCTGTGGACAGCGGTGACGAGTCCCAGTATCTGCAGACCACTCTGTGTGTAGCGGGGGAGATTTGTGTCCTATGGATAAGCTGCTTCGTCTCCTGCTTCAGGGTCTGGTAAGAAATTCGGTCCTACGCGTTCGGAGATGTTGGTGTCGACCGGTTGAGGTGTAACGTAACCGGTGTCAGCGAAGTCGAAGTAAGTTTCGGCGTTGACACATTCGCGAGGATTTTCGTCATCCATCGGAATGGGCACGGAGCAGTACGGAAGTGGTCCTGCTTCCTCGGATGCATTGTCCACGTTTTGCTCGTCCCAGTCAGCTTTGTCTGCTGCTGAAGCGAAGGCTCGGTTGCCACGGAAGCCGCTCGTGAGGTCTCGATTTGCTGCCAGGTTGTCCAGGTACATTTGAAGTGTGAGTCGCTCGTAGAAGATGACATCACGTGATGCTACTGTTTCCTTCGAGTGGACGTAAAAAATCTTCCATGCGTTGTAATGCTTTTCGATGCCCAGGTGTAGTCCCCACTGTGCGCGTTGAGAAAATCTTCCGGCTCTTGCAGTGTGTGGGCAGTACTGTACCATGCACCCGAAAACTCGTAACATTTTTGTGTTGCCCAGTTTTCCTGTCCACAGCAGGTGCGGTGATGCGTTGTTCGGGAGTGATGACGACGAGAGCAAGTTGTGCAGCATGACAGTGTGGTCCATCGCCTCAGGCCACTGGTGATTGGGCAGTCGCATGCCACGCAACAATTTGCGCATGGTGTTCTGGAGAGTTCTGTTCATCCGTTCTGCCACGCCTTGCTGTTGATGGGCGTAGGGAAGCGAGATGAGTCGCTTGATGCCTCGTTCTGCGAGGTACTGCCTGAACCTTTGGGACTGATATTCCCCTCCTCCGTCAGACTGGAAGCTTTTCAGCTTTGCTCCTGATTCTCGTTCTGCCACAGGTAGTCAGGCGACGAAGGCTTCGAAGGCCATGTCGTGACTTGGGAGATTAATATGCCAGACGTAACGGGTGGCGGCGTCGATGAAAGTAATCACGTAATTATATGCTCCTTGTCCTTGTTCGCGAGTATACATGATGTCGCTGTATACTTTCTCGAGTGGTGCATAGGCTGGCGTGCTTGGATTGTGGTGAGAGATGAACGGTTGATGTGGTAATTCGGCTTCGAGACAGGTAAAGCATGTTCCGCGGACTCGTTGGAGTTCTCTGCCGTCGGGTAGAAGGAGTGAATCTTTGTCGAGCACTGCTGCTTTAATTGTATTGTTTAACGTGGTGTTGCTTGGATGCCCCAATCGTTCGTGCCACAGGGGTTCTCTCGCGCGATGTCTGGGTGAGCGTCTGTACAGGTCGGAGTTGGAGTAAAAACCCGTGGTGAAGTTGGCGCTTCTATGAACTTCACGTGGAGTGGGAGCTAACTGTTGCGCAGGAGTCAGTGGAGTGTCGTCGATGAAGGTGGGTGCCGTCGAAGAACTCGCGATTGGTGCTGTAAGTGTTGCTGTTGTTCCCGATGTTGTCTCTGCTGCTGTCGATGTTGTTTCTTCTTGCCGGATTGTTGCTAATGCCCGTGGTTCTTTCTGCTTCAGGTATGGTGTGTGAATACAAGAATCCTCCAGGGCTGAATTCGGGATCGAGGTCCGGAGGATGTGTCCAGGAAGCGAAGTTGACGATGGCGTCGCTGTCGGCGGTTCCTTGATCTGGTACAAAATCAAGAACGAAGACATTGTTCTTCAAGATTGCTCTGCCGATGTAAAGTCCGCCTTTTCCGTGGAATAGCTTGAACTCCCGAGTAGTACTATCTGCTTCGAGATGGATACCTTTCGCCATTAGTTGACTGATGTAGAGTAAGTTGTAGCCGAGTCCTTCTGCAATCAGAACTTTAGACATTTGTAAGATGACGTTAGTTTCTCGAGACTGAAGTTGTACTATCCCTTGTCTTCGTGTGTGCAGGTTCTGGTTGTTGGCCACGGTGATGACGACTTCACGCTGAAGTTGATGTTCTTGTTGAACGAAGCGACTCGAGGAACACATGTGCTGTCCGCAGCAACTGTCCAACAACCAAGTGTCTTGACCGGATGGCTCGCTCTGGGCGATGGCTGCATACGTCGGGTTGGGCTTCAGTGATTCGCGGCAAGGAGTCCTCTCATCGAGCTGTTCTTCTGGTGAGTAATGAGGTGGTGATCCGGTGATGAAGGAGTCGGTCGTTTTTGTCATGCAGCTTACGATGTTTCTTGTTCCTTGTGCAGTTTGTGTTGTTGAAGATGTTGAAGGCTGCACTTGACTTGTGGGGTGCGCCTGCGTAGAAGCTACTTGACTGCTTGAAGGCCGAAGTTGACGTTGCGGTGTTGTCGACTGCTGCTGATTTGGACAGTGTGTGCGCGGATGTCCGGACGTCTTGCAAAGATGACAGAATGGTGGGACATACTGTTGTACTTGTCAGTTGTTGTGTCGGTTGTTGTTGTTGTTGTAGCGTCGTTGAGTGTGAAAGGCGAATTCTGGTACTGACGCTTTCTTCTTGTGTCGTTCTTCATGCAGGTCCATATCCTGCTGTTCAGCGTGAATTTTGGCGCAGAGTGCTGCTTCGGAAATCTTCCCGTGAGCTTGAAGGAGTGCTCGAGTGGAGCGTCAATGAGGACCAAGGCCGGCGATGATGACTGTTACAAAAGCTTCTTCGGATATTGATCCTCCGCATCGAAGGAGTCTGTCGCGCAGTCAGCGACAACGGCTAATATAAGCCATTCCCTTTTCGCCGGGTTTCATTTCCACTATTGTCAATTGTGCCATGAGACGACTCTGGTTAACACTGTCTGTTGCTTGATACAGGCTCTTCAGGTGGTCGTACGCCAGCTTGGCGGAGTTGCCGTATCCTCGATAAGACCGAATGTTCTGCTGCTCGTTTGGTGTTAAATTTCGGAGAAGTATCGTGTACGCCATCAGCGACTGATACGTATACTGCTGCTTGTCGTACTGTGTCCCGTGTACTGGATATGGCAGGGAACCGTCGAAGAATCCGAGAATTTGCGCGCCCTCCATCATCAGCTCAAATTCAAATGACCAGGTATAAAAGTCCTTTCTGTCGAAAAGCGTTGACGTTTGAAGTTTTAGAACGGTTGCGAATTGCGATTGCACCTGAAGCGCGTCCAGCGTCCTCTCTTGTCCAGGTGAAGACTGTGGTTGCGGCGCGAAACTCATGGAGCCGCGTTGAGGCTCGTACGGGGCAAAGGTGGGTTGTTGCTGATTTCTGCGCGCGTAGGATGACCCGTCGAGACTCATTGGTGTTGCTCTGTTGTTGTTGTTGTTGTCGCTGTTGTTTGATAGCGCAGGAGCTGCTTGCTGGTGTTGCTCGTAGAAGGACATGAAGGAGAAAATTTTCTCCATCATACTTGGGTCGAAGCTTGCTGCTTGGTTTCCGGGAGTTTCCGTTGACTCCGCAGCTGGTCTTGTAGCTGTGCCTTCTTCTGTCTGTAGGCCAGAAGCTGGAGGTGGAGTAGGAGTAGTACCGAGAGATCCGTTGGAGGAGCTCCTCTCCTTTCGTGTTGACATGTCTTGCGTTGTTGTAGGTATTTTAAAAGGAGATGATCTTACCCGCCTGCCCTCATACCATGTTGGGCTGAGAAAAGCCCTTAGGATCTTTCAAGGCTAAGATCAGTGTTGAAGTGGAGATGTTGTAATTGTGGAAGCGTTTAATATCAGAGTTTCTGAACCACCTTGTACTAGTGTGTGAGAACAAGATAAGTTGATAAATAGCAGGGAAATACAAGGCTTTTATATGATTACAAAGGAATATGAAAAGTTCTATTCTTAACTGTTTTGCTGTTGCGGTTCGATACAGTGCCGACTTGGGTAACTGCTCAGTAACGAGTCAGTTATGTGTCCTTGCTGTCGCACTGTATTTTTCGTCAAGTCAAAGGTCAGCGACCTTTGACCTTCGCGTAACCTCCAGCGGTTGCTTTGGTTGACTCGTGTGTTTCTTCACTGTAGTCTGCTCCGTTTCGTGTCGATACTTCGATACTTCATAAGTGTTTAGTTTACTTGTTTCCAACATGGAGAAGGGAGAAGGGAGGATGGAGGAGGGAGGGAGGATGGAGAGAGAAGGGAGGATGGAGGGAGAAGGGAAGATGGAGAGAGAAGGGAGGATGGACGGGGTAGGGAGGAAGGAGGGAGAAAGAAGGATGGAGGGAAAAAAACGGGATGAAGGGGAAGGGGGGATGGAGGGGGAAGGTGTCAGAATCAACTGTGCGGGAATGATTGAGTAGCAAGCAAGGATGAGTACAAGTACTAGGTTCGACCTAAAGTGTTGTACTCAGTAGAAACTACCCCACTACAGCCTACACATACAAATGTAATTTGACACACCCCCACAGGCAAAGTGGGGGATAGCAAACACAACGAACGGTCACAAGACCAGTCAAGCAAGAGAACAAAGCAAAGCAAAGCTCAGGGTGGGTCTCAAGGACCCCACACAATCTGAGCACAAGCAAGCGG